ACATTTCTATTATAGAAATAAAGGTACACATCCTGCCCATAAAAATAAAAGTATAAAATTGTATAAACTCGTGAAGGGAGAAGATCTTCAATGATGCAGTTGCTTATACTCACCAAAAAAGTGAAAGTAAATTGCCCTTTGAGAAGAATGTAACTGAATTATGGTTCATACAGTATTCTACAGTCATGAGAGTAATTTAGAGCGATAGATATATGTGTATGATAGGATATGTGATTGTGCATAGGATGTAGATAGGAAAATAGAATGTGGGCGTGGACACATGGGATTGGGGAAGACAGTGGAGAAAGACATTCGTAGTAAAAAAAAAGGAAGTATGGTACGATTCCAAATGTATAAAATTATGTATGTATAAATCATGCAAGAATGGACAGTCACTGAGCATTAAAAGTGATTGATTATCTATCACAAAATACTGAAATTACAGATGAATTATTAACATCTGTTCTAAGTTTTTCAGGGAACATATGTTTACCTAATCAGGAAAAACAATAAAGATATTGTCATTGTAGAAATAAGTATTAAGTCACTAAAAGCAAAAGAGCAAATGTGAAACAAAGATTAACAGTTATTTATAAACATTTATTCTTCCATAGAAATATTGGATAAAGTTAGGCACATTTGAAAAAACTACTACTAGGATCTTTAATGACATTACATTTAATGTCAATAAATGTCAATATAATTACACTGGAGAAAAATCTTATGCAGATCGATATCTCATTATATTGTGTTCTCTATAATATATTATGCTCATTTACTGCTTCACATTTTTGTCTTTAAAAGAGCTTAGGTATTTTCTTCTTAAAGGTTTTATTCATCCTGTATTAAGTAGTTTATTGTTTTTGTTGGTATTTTGCTGCTTTTTTTGTTGCTATATTTGCTGCTTTATTTTCTAGTTTGTGATTTAGAAGAACATTTTTCACTTTTATAAGTTGATCTTTATCTCGTAACTGTGCCAAATTATTCATTTGTTCACATGACATTTTTGTTGCTTCAAATGTTTCATTTTAAGAGAAAAAATTTTATACTGGCAGAATATATGAATGTACAATTTACTATCCAACTATTTTAATTATATGGTTTAGGGGTATTAAATAAACACATATTATTGTGCAGTCATAACCATAATCCACCTCCAGAACTGTTTTCATCTTGTAAAACTGAAACTCTTTGCCTATGACACAATAATTACCCATTTATTTCCTTTTTCTCTAAAACCTTAGCAACCATCATCCCAATTTCTGTCTATGAATTTGGCTATGCGAGGTATCACATGTAAGTGGGGGAGTGCAGTATTTAACTTTCTGTATTTGGCATTGTTCATGTGAAAAAAAATGCCTTTAAGTTTCATCTGTAGCATAACATGAGTCAGAATTTCTTTTAAGTCCTAGTAATATTTCATTGTGTGATAATCAAGTTGGATTGTCAACTTGATTGGCTTAAGGACAGGCTGGAGGATTAGTAAAGCACACTTCTGGGTGTGTCCATGTGGGTCCTAGAAGCCTGATTTGGGATTTTATATCTGGTTTCTGACTCCTTCCTTTCAGGTACTATTCCCCTACCCTGATTCCCAGCCACCATGAAAGCAAGCTTTACTCTTCTGTATCCTAGTATGATGTTCCTGCCTTGAAGTCAGTCATCAATGGACTGCACCCCCTGAAATCATGAATGAAATAAACTATTTCATCCATTAAGTTGTGGGTGTTGGGTATTCTCTCCCTGTAACAGGAAGCTAATACACGTTGTATGTATGTACATTTTTTTATGTTTTTTCATCTGTTGATAAATTCTTGAGTTGATTCTGTATTTGTTATTATAAATGATGTTGCAATGAATATGAGTGTATGAATTTTTTTCTTTCCTTTTTTTTTTTTTTTTTGGTATCGGGAATCAAACTCAGGACCTTTCATTTGCCAGGGAGGCACTTGTGCCACTGAGCTATATCCCTGGCCTGGGTGTATGACTATCTATTCAAGACCCTGCTTTCAATTCTTACATGTATTTAACCAGAGGTAGATTTCATAGATTATAAGGTAACTCTATGTCAATTTTTTGAGAAACTGCCAGACTGTTTCCTACAGTCATTTTATATTCCTACCAATAGGGTACAAGGGTTGTGACTTCTCCACACCTTTACAAACACATGTCTTCAGTTTTTATTTTACTTTGTAATAGTAACTATCTCAATAGGTGTGAGGTAAATTGGTATCTCAGTATAGTTTGGGTTTACATTTCCCTGGTGATTCCTGAGGTTTAATATCTTTTCTCACGCATATTCGCCATTTGTTTACTTTCTTTGTGGAAATATCTATTCAAATCTTTTGTGTACTTCTGAATCAGATTGTTTGTTTTGTCATTGAATTTTAGAGTTCTCCTTATATATTCTGCATATGAATCCTTCATCAGATGCAATTTGAAAATATTTTTTACTACTCTACAGGCTGCCTTTTTTCTTTGTATGACTGGCAAATATTTACTCTCATTCCACAGGCTGCCTTATTCCTTTGTTGAGAATGTCTTTTGATACACACACATTCTAAATTTTCCTTAAGTTCAATTTGTCTCTTTCTTTTGTTGTCTTTTACACTGATAATTTAATCTGCTTTCCTGAATTTTATCTAATGTTCTTCTCCCAATCAAACAATTCACTCAAACATCAGTTGTCATGTTACTTTTTCCTCCTCTTGGTCATGACTGTCTCTTACACTTTCTTTACTTTCAGTGACCCTGGAATTTTAAGGAATTTTAAAGAATGTGGCTTAGGAGTTTTGCAGGAAGTCTTCAGCTGAGATGTGTCTGATGGCTTCTCATGATTAGACTGAATAATGTGTGATTGGGAAGATGATCACAGAAGCGAAGAACTTTTTTATCACATTATCAAAGGTATCTATTCTGAACACAATCTATCATGATTGATGTTAACTAACTTGTTTGGTCAGCTTGGCCACCATAAAGTTATTTCTTTTATCCTCCTTTTCCATATTATACTCCTTGGAAAAAGGCATAATGCACAACCCACACTTAAAGAGAGGAGAGAGATGATCCACTTACTTAAGGGTACAGTATCAGTATTAGGCATTTGAAATTCTGCATGGGAGACTTGCCTCATCTCCAGCGTTTAGTCATTAAGTTGTCAGTTTAAATCAAAACGGATTTTGCAATACTTGTATTTTGGGTCGTAAACCAATATCATTTTAATCATTTTGTTGTTAAATTATTCTTTCACTATTTTAAACATTTTAAATTAACTCCTGCATCCCTTTAACATTTTGACATATGCCATCATTGGGGATCTCTTACTGTCTTTCTCTGTTTCTCCTTTTGTCCTCTCTCCTCCCCACTCATCCCTTCTCCTTCCCTTCTTCTTTGAGCAGTTTCTTAATTACTAGTGTTCTAAGATATCCCAGGATTATTTTATGTATTTATTGGCCTAGTCCTAGAACTAACCATTTCTCTGAGGAGCCCAGTTCTTTTTTTGGACAATGATATTAGAAATCAAGATTTGGATGCTAGGATGCTATGTTCTGATGGCTAGTGGATACCATAGGTTCTGGGTCCTCTAAGCTGGCAGAGCAAGAAAATATATGTGTGTACACACACATATGAAATATTTCTCTGTGTAATCCTTTGTTTCTGTATTAAGCTAAGGTGTATCCAATTCTATTCCATCACATGGATCATTCTAGAATCTTCTCCTTGCTTTTCAGTACATCTTACTCTAACAATGATGAATTTGGCTCCTACTATTTGCCAAGCTTTACAATCAGTTTATTACCTAAAAGATATGGAGGAAAGGAAAGGAGCAAGGAAGGAATATATATATATATATATATATATATAAAGATAGCTAAGATAATTTTACTACTAATTTCTATCAGCTCATTGAAAGGAACAGTTAGTGTTTATATTGTTTGTCCAATCTTACATGCCTATATCTGGTAACTACTTTGAAGACAACAATATATGATATAATAACCATTGTTAATTTCCTATCATCATATTTTAAAATTCTGTATCTTTTTTTATTATTCTCCTTAAAATAAACAAATTAAAAGATAGTTTGGTGGGATAGTTTGCCAGGATTGCATTAACTCACTACATCTATTTTTATTAGAATTTAGAATTGATTTTTAAAAATATCAGTGCTTTGTATTTTTCTTAGATACAACCTGCACATATTTTATTGGAATCTTTGCTATGGGTTTTAATTTATTGGATTATATATTATATATTTGAATTTCAAGTTCCAATTATTCATTTTTAGTATAGAAAAACAATTGATATTTATATTAACTCTGTCTCCTGTGACTTTACTGTACTGTTTATTAGTACATGAGGGATTTTTTGGTCAATTTGGGGGATTCTTATTCTTTGGGGGAGTTTTTATCTCCTTTCTAGTCCATATGCTTTTTGCATCCTTTTCTTATCTGACTATAACTCGGAATTCTAGGACAATATTGAGGAGGAGTGGTAAGAAAGGACACCTTTACTTTGTTTTTAATCTTATAGAAATATTCATTTTGTTATCACTAAGTGAGACGGTAGGTATAGGCTTTTTAGTTTTTCTCGGGTACCGGGAACCGAACTCACGACCTTGCGCTTGCCAGGCAGGCGCTTTTGCCGCTGAGCTAAATCCCCAGCCCCGGTATAGGCTTTTTAAAATAGATATTTTCCATCAAGTTGAGGGATTTGCTTTATTAGCTTGCTGAGAGTTTTTTAAAATCATGAGTAGGTATGGGGTTCAGTAAAATGATATTTCTACATCACTTGATATGATCGTACGATTTGTCTTCTTAACTATGTTGATGTAGTAGATTATTTTTAAATGTTGAGCCAGTCTTGCATAATTGGAATAAATCCCAATGAGTTATAGTATATTATTTGTACACATTATTGAACTCCATTTGATAATGTTTTACTAAGGATTTTTACATTTGTGTTTTTGACAAATATTGGTGTATCATTTTCCTTTTTTATAGTGGCTGTATCAAGCTTCAGTACTTAGGAAATCCTGGCTTCCCAGAATGATTCAAGTAAGTTTCTGAAAGAGACTGTGAAGAACTGATATTTCTTTCATAAATGATAAACTTTATTAGTGAAATTATGTGGACCAAATATTTCCTGGCTTGAAAGATTATCAATTGCTGACTAACTATATTATTCTATAAATATACATCTAGGTAGTTCCTCCTATGTGTGTTCTTATTATCCCTGTCTTTGCAGGACTTGGTTCATTTTATCTGTAGTCAAATTTTTTTAGCATAGGGTTATTTGTAATATTCCTTTATTATTATCATGACATCCATGGGATCAATAGTGATGACCCTTTTTCACTTTTAATATTGGTAATTTGGGTCTTCTCTTTTTATATTTCTTAGTTAGCTTGGCTGGGTTTCATTTCATCAATCTTATCAAATAACCACCTTTAGGTTTCATTATTTTTCTCCATTATTTTCTTATTGAGTTCTTGTTCAATTTCATAGACTTGTACTTCAATTTTAATAATCTTTTTTCTTTTTGTTATAAGCTTAAAGGTTCAGTTTTAAATTTCTCATGGTTAAGACTTAGGCTACTGATTTTTTTTAGGCTACTGATTTTAAATCTTTCTTTGTTTTTGTAGCATATGCCTCGGATACTATAACTTCCTCTCTAAACATTCACTGCGTCCCACAAAGTTTTATAGTTGTATTTTAATTTTCATTTAATTAAAACATTTAATATTTGTCCTTTATTCATGTGCTGTTGTAAATTATAGCTGTATATTTCCAAATATTAATGGATTTTCACAGTTTAAAAGTTATCTTCATTGTTGTTTGAGAACATACTTTGTCTGATTCCTAATCCTCTAACTTTGGCAAAGTATGTTCTCTGCCCCAGCATGTGGTGTACCTTGGGGAGTTTGAGAGAAGGTGATTCTGCTTTTGTTGAACAGAATGATCTGCAAATGTCCGTAAGATCAAGTGATTGATAGTGTTGTTCAGGTGAACAAGAGCTTCATTGATTTCCTCTCTACTTCATGTATCAATTATTGAAAAGGGGATATTAAAAACTGCTAAAATAGTTTTGATTTATTTTTGTTTTCACTTCTATCAATTTTTGTCTTATGTATTTTATATTTTAAGAATATACACATTTATGGTCGTAATGTTTTGGGGAAGAATTTGTCTATTTTCTGCCATATACTTTTATTTTCAATTTTTTTGTTTTGATGTCTGCTTTGTCTGAAATTAATGTAGCTATTTCAGCTTCTTTGTGATTAGTTATCTTTTCCCATTTCCTTGCTTTTAATATTTCCTTTATATTCTGTGGGTTTTCTGAAATAATGTTTTGTTAGGTCTTGTTTTTAAAAATCTAGTTAGTCTTCATATTTTAACTGTTGTGTTTAGACCACACACATTTAAAATGATTATTAACACATTTGGGTTAATCTCAAATATTTTTGTAATTATCTCATGCCGTTGATAGTGGTTTCTTTTGTTTCTTTCTCTAATTTTTACTTAACACCTTATTGGATTCCACTTATCATCTTCCAGTATATACTGCATGTTCTTACCTTTTTTAAAGATTTGTTTTAGATTTTACAAAATACATTTTCAACTACATTGATCTTCAGATAACACTGTTGTGCTTCTCATATCATGCAGGTATCTTATAACACAGTATTTATGTTTCTGATTTTTTTTATTTCTATGACATCACTGTCATTCATTTTACCTAAACATACACAATATTCAATATATCGTTACCATTATTATTTTAAACAGCTGTTCTCAGATCAGTTATGAGTGGAAAAAAGGAAATATTTTAACTTTATTTCCTCTGAATTTTTATATATGAATATATTTATATTTATATCCAAGTTACTTTTACTTAAATGCATTTATATATGCACTTTTTTCTTTTGGTATTTATTCTACTTCATATTTTTTGAGCATTCTTGTCTGGGTCTATAGTTTGGTGTCTGTTATTGATTCTGGAAAGTTCTCAGTCATTATTATTTCAAATAAATCCATTCTGCCTCCTCTGTGTTCTCTTTCTGTAATCTAATTTTCTCTAATTTGATCTTGAAGTCTTTTTCTCTGGAGAGCGACTACAAACTCTAGCCCTGCCCTGGTTGGAGTCCAAGGGCTTGGCTTAAGGATGTTCATTCACAATGTACCTTGCAAGGTTTACATCCATATCCTGACTGATGGCCTAATGTCTAAATGTTTGATCCATGTCCAGGCATCTATCTCATAGGAAATTTACTGTTACTGACCAAAGCCCTTGTAGATCCTGTGTGACCTGTGTCCAGCTTATTCCTCTAAAGATAGCCACTCTCCAGGTCCTGGCAGGATAGAAGTTCAGTCCGGGTATATTGGTCAAATGAGACACAAAAGAGGCAATTCCAGACAGCACATGAGATGAAAGGTTATTACTCACAGATTCTTGAGAGAAGAGGACAACATGCCTTGCAGGGCCAATGGGAAGGGGGTGGGCATCAGGATACATATGTTCAACCAGCAGGTGAGGAGAAACACAGAGGGATCTGCGGGCTGAAGTCTTTATTTGGGATCAAGGGCATCCCCAAGTGAGTTTCTCAGAGGAAGGCCTAATTGGTGTTATCAGCAAGCAGGCACAGATTCCAGGAGACCACACTGTGATGGAGAGTGGTAGCTGTGGTGTGCCTGAACAGTCCTTGCAGACATGGCATGAGCCTGTGAGGGTAGGCCAAGTACTAGATTGTGTGTGGCTATCTCATAGAATAGCCCAGGTGGGAGGTAGTTGTGTAAGGTGTATATCTGGATGCAGCAAACTGAGGAATTGAGAGGAGACAGAGGACAGGAAATTGTACTAAGAGTAACTAATAACTTCTGTTATAAGGAAACACAGTTTATATTAAAAATGGATATCTCAGCCACATAAAATTAGAGGAATTCACTACAACTTCTTTTTAAAATTGTTCCAATGTTCTTGGATGTTTTCTTTCTTTAATTTGTTGTATTTTATACATTTTTTTTGGTAAAGTTTCTCTTGACATATATTTGAGCTCACCATCTCTTTCCTTTGCTATGTTCTGTCTCTTGAAATTGCAGCAAAGAATTTTTCATCTATGTTACAATGCTTTTGTTTTCTAGCATTTATTTTTAATTTTTTTCTGAGAGTTTCCTTCTCTCTTTGTACAGCATCCATCTCTGTTGTTGAATGCTTTCTACGTTTTCCATTAGAGCCATCAACATATTAATTATAGGTAATTCCTTCCTGCTAATTCCAAAATCTATGTTGTCTCCCTGTGTGGTTTTAATGATGCTTTGTCTCTTTAGACTGTGGTTGCTTCTTTTTTTTACCCTGTTCGTGTGCTTTGTAATTTTTTTTGAAAGGCGGACATGTAACTGGTTTTAGAAAGTGAGGTAAATAGTCCTCCAGTTAAGTATTTATGATCATCCAACTAGGAGTTGGGCTTTGTGTAATATTTTCGTGCCAGAGACTTCATATTCTTCTAGTGTTCTGGATTTTGTTCTCCTTCTTGACTTTCAGCTTCCCTAAGTATTCCTTCTTAGAAAGTCTATTTATCTGAAATCCACTATTATTTTACTGGAAACTTATCTTTTTTAAAAAATAACTTTATTGGTATATTTTAGATATACATATTTATAACATTTATCAGATGGAATTTGAAACTGTACATGATATATCTTTTTGTTGTTGTTGTTTTTCTTCTGGTACCAGGAATTGAACTTATGACCTTGTGCTTGCCAGAAAGGTTCTTTGCCACTGACCTAAATTCCCAGCTCCCCATGATATACCTTAATTCTGCTTTTTTCCCAGTCCCCTCTCTTGTCTTTAACTCCTCATTATTTACAAAAGCTTGGTTTCCATTTTTTCCTTCTAGTCTCTTTTTTCCTTTTCCCTCCCTTTCTTTTCGCTCCCTTCCTCCGTAGTTTCCCTTCCATATTTGAACATTTTATGCGTATTGCACAATAACTATTGTACATTTTGGTCCTTATTTACACTTTCAGTTTCTCATGCTGTAGAAATTATGTGATATTTGAATACATGTGACTGGTTTATTTCACTTAAGAGTATGAGTCTTTGATCCATTTCCATTTTTAGTTTAGTGCATGAGGAGAGATATGGGTCTAGTTTTAGTCTTTGGTCTGTTTTTTTGCAAGTACCATGCTAGTTTTATCACTGTAGCTTTGTAGTATATTTTCAAATTAGGGATTGTGATGCCCCCTGCCTTGTCTTTGTTGCCCAGAATTTCTTTTGCTATTCTAGGTCTCTTCTGGTTCCAAATGAATTGTAGGATTGGTTTCTCCCGTTCTGTGAGTTCTGCTATCAGTATTTTGATTTAGATTGTATTAAATCTGTATCACAATTTTGAGAGTACAGCCATTTTTACTATATCAGTTTTTCCTACACAAAAACAAGGGATATCTTTCCAGTTTTTGATATCTTCTTTGATCTCCCTTTTCAGAGGGGAGTAATTTTCAATGTAAAATTCTTTACCTTCCTTCATTAGGCTGATTCCTAGGTATTAGATTTTTTGGAGGCTATTGTGAAGGTGTTATTTCTTTAATTTCTTTTTCAGTGTGCTTGTTATTTGTGTACAGGAACGCTATTGATTTTGGGTATTGAGTTTATATCCAGTGACAGTACTGAATTTGGCTATTAAACGTAAGTCTTTTGGTGGAGTATTTTGGAATTTCTATATAGAGTATCATGTCATCCACAAATAATGGTAATTTTACTTCTTTCTTTCCTATCATTATTCCTTTTATTTATTTCTCTTGTCTAACTTCTCTGGCTAATGTTACCATAACTATATTGTATAAGAGTGGAGACAGTGGACATCCTTGTTTTGTTGCTGATTTTAGAGTGAAAGCTTTCAGTTTCTGACCATTTAGTATGAGATTGGCTGTTGGTTTGTCATAGATGGCTTTTATAGGACACAGTGAAAGCAGTCCTACCAGGGAAATTTATAGCAGTAAATTCTCACATCAGATAAACAGAAGGGCCTCAAATAAAAAAAACCTAATGTTGAACCTTAAGC